GCAGGTTCCCCCTCTGGGGTTGAGGAAGGTGACCTGAGATGTGTGTTCAGCCCCGAGAAGGAACTATGTACTTTAGTCTTTACTTTTTCGAACCCTCCCCAGCATCTATGGGTTTAGGCAGGTCACTTCCCCGCGAGAGATCAATTGTCACATGGTCTAGGAGACTCCAGGTCTGAAGAAGCCACGGTTTCCACATCACTGACACTTCTAGCTAGAGTCTCTGATTACTGCTTCAGTTTAATGGAGTGTATTATTTGTCTTTCCTGTAATAATGTGACTATAATTCAGGCAAGAAAGCCTGATGGTCTATTAATTTTTATTGCACCTGTCAGTCTTGATTTCCAAACATAGTCTCAGACATGTTCTGGATTTGAGAATCCTGGAACCAGAACTCTGTACTAGAAAGAATAAAGGGTATGTGTACAGATTTGCAGAGGGTCTGGGCTTTGGAAATGATTTCTTCATTCTCCTATGGTTGGCATGCTCTTTCCTCATGCTGGATGGAGGCTTCTAGAGTGGAGCAGCTCACCTGTGGATTAGGACTCACTCACTACCCTCTGTGCATAACACACACACACACACACACACACACACACACACACACACACACACACACAAATATTTAAAAAACTGACAAGATCTCCTGTGACCCAGGCTGGCTTTAAACTTGCTATGTATTCAAGGTTGGCCTTGAACTCTTGACCCTCTTGCCTCTACCTCCTACAAGCTAGGATAATACCAGGCCTAGAATTTAATAAAAAAAAGAAAAAGCAAGACTTTATGGTGACATGTATTTATCCAAATCTTTATCTGGAAACATTCTTATTTCTCCATCTGGGTAGGAGAAGCCACATCACTTCTCTCTAATCCAGGAAGGCCTCTAAGAGGAGGCAACTCCTGGCAGAGGGGAAGAGTCCTAAGGAAGAGATACTATAAGCAAAGAGAGCAAATGAATGAAGGTGTTGGAGGCCAGCATGTTCCTCATGTAAGAAAGAGGAGGAGGGATTTGCGGGAGGTGGGCATTTACAGTTCCTACTCTGGTGACTTGGCTGGATTTGGAACTGTTGGGGGATTTTCAGCTCTGAGAGGACTGATCCTGTGTGCAGGTGAGCCACCCTGACAACATGGGGGTCCATAGCCATCTACTGGGGAAGGCTGTACTGAGGTGGGGCTCCCTGACCCACAGGCTGCTGATGTTAATGAGGTGGTCTCATCTAACTGATGGAAAGGTTTAGGACTGACTTCAGTTATAAGTCGAAGTATTTCTGACGAGAACCTGGGCCTCTGCGGATTCACAGAACATAAAACAGCCAGCCTTGAATGTGCTATGTCACAAACATATATGAACACATTGTGTCTGTCCACAATGTGAGCTCTTTCTCCCTTTCTTTCTTTCTTTCTTTCTTTCTTTCTTTCTTTCTTTCTTTCTTTCTTTCTTTCTTTCTTTCTTTCTTTCTTTCTTTCTCTCTCTCTCTCTCTCTCTCTCTCTCTCTCTCTCTCTCTTTCTCTCTCTCTCTTTCTTTCTTTCTTTCTTTCATGTGTGTTAGGGTTTTTCTGTGTAGTTTTGGAGCCTGTCCTGGAACTTGCTCTATAGACCAGGCTGGCCTCGAACTCACAGAGATCCACCTGCTTCTGCCTCCCAAGTACTGGGATTAAAGATGTGCACCACCACCTCCCAGCAGAATTTTTTTAAATAACAATAAATTCAGAGACTACATTAGCTTGTTGGCTGTTTGCCAAGAAGTCCCACTTTCTCTGGAGAGCAAGCCATTAGCACACACAGGTTCTTTTATTCTGATTTTAATTAACTCTCAGATCACACACTACATGTAGAACACAATAATTATATAGATATGTATATGTATACACGTGACTTTCCAAGTTGTTACAACAGATAGGCATGGTGGTATATGCCTTTTAATCCTAGAGCTTGACAGGCAGAGACAGACATAGCTCTGTGAGTTTGAGACTGCTCTGGTCTACATAGCAAGTTTTAGGCCAGCCTGGGCTACATAAGACTCTGTTTAAAAACAAACAAACAAACAATAAAATACCACCACCACTCTGCCAAAAAAACAAAACAAAACACACACACACAAAAAAAAACCTAGGAGGACAAAGCAGAATTCAGGAGTTCAAAAGGCATTATTGCCACCGAGACAATAGTCACATCCAGATGCCGAGTCTCTGCAGAGGTTAGATGAGATGGGAACGGTCCAGTTGAACGCTTTTGGACACGCCAGCACAGAGCCAAGATGCAGGGTTACAAGTTTGAGCTGAACTTCCTGGTTGAGCCAGGCTGGGGAGCTGAAGGGAGGGGCCATGGGGCAAGGTACAGAACTGGTTACAGATGGACAAACTGATGGGCAGACAGAAGGATGGATGGTGATTTGAATAGGTCACATCAATAGAGAGGACCAAGTCAGGCTTTTCTGTCCCGCCCTCCAGTTACCAAATAACCACACAGACTTGTTATTAATTATAAATGCTGGGCCGATAGTTTAGGCTTGTCTCCAGCCAGCTCTTACAATGTAAGTCAATCTATTTCTACTCATCTGTGCGCTGCCCCGACGCTCATTTACCTCATCCATGAACTTTCCATGTTACTTCTTCAGCATCTAGATCACAACTCTCGCGACTCACTGACTCCGCCCCTTCTTCCCAGCTTTCTCTCTGCCGGGAAAATCCTGCCTAGCTATCTCCCAATGAGCTTTCTGTTAATAATGAGAGCAACACATCTTCACAGTGTACAGAGGATCATTCCACAGCATCCTCTGCCTGCCAGTCCCTTGATGCACATGGGAGGTGATCAGACAAGTCAATAGGGGCTGTGGCCATTGTGTCCTCCTCTTTATGGAGCTAGGTGAGGGTGCTGGACCCTTTGTTGGTCTTTTGTGTTTGATACGTTCTCTGGCCTGGTTTTCCCAATAAGATTTTAATATGTCACTGTTTAATATGTTACTGTGGAAGGTTTATAGGATGATGTCATTTCTCCTCTTAGGAATAAATTATTTGCTAGCCTGCCTCATGGTTTTTTGTTTGTTTTTGTTTTTGGGTTTTTTTTTTTTTTTGTTTTGTTTTTGAGACAGGGTTTCTCTGTGTAGCTTTGCGCCTTTCCTGGAACTCACTCTGTAGACCAGGCTGGCCTCGAACTCACAGAGATCTACCTGGCTCTGCCTCCCGAGTGCTGGGATTAAAGGCGTGCGCCACTACCACCCAGCACCTGCCTCATGTTTGCTGGACAGATGGTAGTGTTCATGTGCACAGCCAGGGGCAGATCATCCTGCTCTGCATCTGCATTCCAAATGAAGTCCAATGCTGCTTGTAGAGTGGACTCACCCAGGTGCTGGAGCCATAGCTCAGCACTTAAAAGCACTGGCTTTTCTCGCACGGTGCCTGGGTTCATTTCTGGCACCCAATGCCTTCTGGCTTCTGAGGGTATCAGGCATGAACATGGTGCACAGATGTACATAAAAGCAAAAAAAAAAAAAAACATAACGATAACGTGTAAAATAAAAATAAACAAATCTTAAAACAAAACGGGAGTAAACTTAAAAGAAAAATAGCCATCCAGGGCAAGGTACAGCCTGAAAGCCACTGTTTTACACAATACTGGGCAACAGAAGAAAGCACAGCCTCATCTCAGCAAAGCCTTTTTCTCTTGAGCATGCCTTGCAAGCGACTGAACACGCCTCTGCAATCTCAGGGATTCAGAATTCCTGAGGTACTGTGGAGGATTCCATTTGTTCTGCAAAGATCCTCTAAGCACAAAGACGTGGATGCCGTGGATGCATGAAACCCAACATGGAGGGGGCCGGTACCTTCAGGAAGGTGACAGAAAAATACCAGAGGGTGCAAGATCGATGCTGCCGTTCAAACCAGGGACTTTGTGTGTAGCCTAGACTGGTCTCCTACCACGATCCTCCTACCCCCGCCCCAAGCACTGGGATGATTGTCAGTGGTTGCTCTGTAGGCTGATTGCTTCCAGGTTCTTGGCCTCTTGTCCAAAGAACTGGAAAGGAGTCCCACAGATTTGCAAAAGAAGCAAGATGGTTTCATTTTGAGTAAGCAGAGAGTTGGGGTTATAGAAGGACACACTGTCAAGATTGACAGCAGACCCCCAGGAATGAGAGTACTCAAGGACTGAAGGCTACAGCCTGGGCTCTCTTTTTTTAAGGGGGCTAAAACAAAGGAGGTAGTTTGGGTGGGTCTCTGTTTTGATTGATAGCTTAGGTAATAGACTTGAATAAAACTGTCTAGATTTGGTTGTTACCAGGGGCCAGGAAACTTATACTATTGACCAGGAATAGGAATACATATAGTCTGATGCAGATGTGTCAGGGGTTACAGGAGGGTCTGGGTTGCAGTGTGCACCATCTGAAGATGGTGTATATATACTTGGCGTGTCCCGGTGAAGGAAGTAGGCTGCCAAGCACATTATTATGGTTGTGTGTGTGTGGTGGTTTGAATAAGGAATGTCTCCCATAGGCTCATGTGTTTGAACACTAGGTCTCTAGTTGGTGGTGCTGTTTGGGGAAGTTACAGAACCTTTAGGAGGTGAATAGATGGAGGAAGTACATCGCGGGGGTGGGCTTTGAGAGGTTATAGTCTTGCCCCACTTCCTGTTTCGTCTCTCTGCTTCCTGTGTGTGAATGAAAATGTCATAAGGCAGCTTCCTGCCTCTGCCGTCATGCCGTGTCTCCCCCACCACGATGGGCTGGATCCTTCTGGAGCCGTAAGCCAAAGTAAGCACTCTCTTCCTTATGCATGCTTGGTCATGGTGTTTTATCCCAGCCACAGAAAACTAAGGAATGCTTGCCTGTCTCCGGATCACAGATGCACTCCACCGTGTCACCCAATAGATTCCCTTCTTGATTTCACCGATTAGTTTACCTCTTTTTTTTTTAAAAAAAAAAATTATTTTACAATTAATTTAATTCTACATATCAGCCACGGATTCCCCTGTCCTCCCTCCTCCCACTCCCCTAGTTTACCTCTTTTTCCCCTGAGGTCACTAATGGTGGCCAAAATGCTCCCATTCTCTCCCCTGCCCCTCTCGTTCTGTCTCTCATGGTGCTGAGGATGGAACCAAGGGCCTTGCACGCTGTAGGCTTGATATTTGGTCAAGCCCAGAGCCATCCGTGCTGGACCACAGCCTGAGAATTCTAACTAGGAGGTTCTGGGCATGCCCCAGGTCTGCTTCTCAAGTGTTTCACAGGACATACGAGGAGATGACACAAACCACCTTCATCTCCACCTCCAAACCTCCAAAGATGTCCTGTCGGCCCCTTGTCATCCTTGTCTGTCAGTCAAGCTCTGAGACAAGGATGTCGACTGGGAAACCATGTTTCCTTCTCCTCCACCTTATTCGCAGCTCGCTGCTGCTCCTCTAGGGCACCGCCCCGAGCACTGCTGCTGTCTTTGGGGAGGTGGGCGGGGTGAGGGAGTTGTTCTACCTGCCTGGGAAAACAGCAAGGAAGAAGCATTCAGTGTTTTCTGCTGCAGCCCAGCTTGTCAGGGTAGAGAGAGACAACAAAATTAGGGGAAGAGAATGGAGCCCTTCTCACCAGCAGGGAAGCGAGAATGCCGGCAGTCAGCATTCGCCCTGAGGACTGCCAACAGAGATAACGCTCCTTTCATGCGTCCATACTTGATGTAAAGTAGTGATGAACCAGGCTTGCGGACTGAGTGTGCATGGCCTTGGGTAGGACCTCCTTCAGCTTCCAGACAGTTCTGGGAATCACAAACAAGACTATTAACTTTTTTGTTTGTTTGTTTGTTTTTTTCGAGACAGGATTTCTCTGTGTAGCTTTGCGCCTTTCCTGGAACTCGCTTTGGAGACCAGGCTGGCCTCGAACTCACAGAGATCCGCCTGCCTCTGCCTCCCAGCTGCTGGGATTAAAGGCGTGTGCCACCACCTCCCGGCCGAGACTATTAACTTTTACAGCAACCATATCCTGGGATCTACACAGCTATCTGCTGCATTCTGTTGGGGACCCTGGGAGCCACCTGTGATCTCATTAGGCATCTTAGCAATCCTTTAACCATAACAGCTTCAAAACTCACCGTATGACAGTTGTGAAGACAATAAAGTGTCCTCTCTTGGAGCAGGTCACACCTATGCCTTCTCTCTTAACTCTTATGCTTAAAATATATGTTAAAAGTGTCTCTTAATAAATACCAACCCAAGGCTCAAAGCTACACAGAGAAACCCTGTCTCGAAAAACCAAAAATAAATAAATAAATAGATAAATAAATACCAACTCAGTTTCACACTGGCCACATGTGAAATTAAATAATTTATTCTGAAATTAATTATCCATTTGGGGTGTAAGCGTGCCAGCATTGTGTGCCATGGTGCATGTGTGGGAGTTGGTTCTTGCCTGTCACCTGATGGGATTGGGGACAGGACTCAGATCAGACTTGCCTGCTAGCGTGCCTCTGCCCACAGAAACTCTATTTTTGCATTGAGGCCAAGGACTCTGATTTGAGGTTCCCTAAAAAGTTAAGGGAACTCCTCAGCTGCCATGGATGACAGTCTAGAGCTGTTCCTCTGTCCCTACCTAATCCTAAAGTCTTCAGCTTCTTGGCCATTTCTGAAACCCTCCCAGTAATGGCCCCCTACCCTGCAGCTAGAAAGAACTAGAAGATAGATGAGTCAGAAGGGAAGAACCCTGTTCAGCCCCACCCCAGTCCCCGTGACTTCCCTCATTCAAAGGATATCTGCCCCACCACCCCTCTCAAGAATTAGCCCTGGGGTAGGTGCTTGAAGGAGGAGATGGAGGAGGCGTGGATCCACCCACCACCGTCAGCACTATGGTAGGGTTTGCAAAGCTTCCTTTGTCAACTGAAGTGGGATCTGGGCTGGCACTGGTATTTGCCATTAAGCTAGGACATCTAAGCCCATGGGTAATGCTCTCCTGGCTCATCATGGCATAGCGGTGGGAGCTGGGGGGGTGGAGGGGACAATAGTGGCAATGGTCTTTGGGAGTCTTCCCGATCATCCCCCTTCATTTTTCCCAACACCCTTTTATTTCGTGCTGTGGCTGAAACCCCATGTGTTAGGGCCTTTCCCATGCTGGAGTACATACACTACCACCACCACGTTACAACCCTCCCACCCCCAACCCCGAAGAAACCTTCCCTAGGGGATCTTGAGGCCACCGCGGGAACAAAGGCACAGCCTGTGGAATGTTCTGGGGAAAGTTAACAATGCTAGAAAAGAGGGAGGCACTCTGAGATAAATGATGGCTTCGGGTCAGCAAGGAGGGTCCCAATCAGGACTCCGGTTAGGTCAGGAGATGAGCAAAGGTTGTCTGAGCAGGTCTTGGAAACCCTGTACACACACACATCAACCCAAAGAGACATTTATTCTGGTTGAGTGCAGCAGAGAGATGAGAGTGGAATTCATAACAGATAAAGCCTTTACACCCTCCTTCCCCAGAGCCTGCCTTCTCTCTCCCCTTGTGTGGAAAGGAGGAGTGAGGTTGGCCAGGACAGGAACCTGAGAAGGAATGGGAGGGAGAGATGTGAGCTCTTGCAGGGAGGTACTCAAAAGGGGGTTGCCAGTGGGCAGAGCCTTGCACCCAGACTTATGAACAGAGCCTGGTATCTGGGAAAACTGAATTCAACATTCAGCAGCATGCATGTACGTACATACACACACACACACACACACACACACACACACACACACACCAAAGCAAAGCATTACATCACAGTGGCAGCCACAAGTGGTGCGTTTGGAGAAAGTTGGTGTTATTTACTAACAGTCACCGTTAATGCTGTTTCCCAGTGTTCAGATGCAGAACTTGCTGCTCCGTCACAGCAGCCCTCCGGTACAGGCACCCAGAGCCAGGCCAGAAGAAAGAACATGGCTGGCCTTCGGGAAGACACTTGCACAGCAGGAATTAGGTCTTTAAAAGGAAGCAGGAAGTTTCTCTTTGAATCACTTCTTCCTTCCACTTCTTGTCACTTGAGTAACGGCCAGTTGGGGGAAAAAGAGATGACTGTTTTTATTTTATTTCTTTAGAGTTTTGAAGGCTTTTAGGTTCTGCAGTCCAGGCTGACTCAGAATTCTGTGATCCTCTTGCCTCAGCATCTCGAGTGCTAAGATTCCAGGGATGTGCTACCACACCCAGCTGCCATTTTCGGTTTTGCGTGTGCATCTTGGGAAATCCCTTGAGGAACAGAATGTGACGGGTCTTGTTTCTGCCCTGTCCTTGCCGGACTTTCATCCCCGGCAGGCCTGGGAATGGATGCCATGTCAGATCCAGGTGTTGGGGGTCACTCACTGCATCTCTGGCTAGCAGTGTACACATTTTTTTGTAAGTTCAACATGACCCAGCTTCTCTCTCCAGCAGGCCAGATGTAGGAGTTCTTTATGGCTTTCCTCATAACCTAGTTCACCCTGTCTGGTAGAGCACAAACCTCATCCTGGAGGAGCTAGTCACAGCAGGGGACAGAATGCAGCAGTGAGTTAGAGTTTCTATTGCTGCAATAAAACACCACGACCTGGGCGCTTGCTTTTAATCCCAGCACTCGGGAGGCAGAGTCAGGCAGATCTTTGTGAGTTTGAGGCCAGCCTGGGCTACAGAGTGAGTTCCAGGAAAGGTGCAAAGCTACATAGAGAAATCCTGTCCCGAAAAACCAAAAAAAGAAAAAAAAAAAGAAAGAAAGAAAGTGCCCTGCAAGCTTGCTCACAGCCTGATTTTTGTTTTGCTTTGGTTTTTGAAACAGGGTTCCCGGAACTCTGTAGAACAGGCTAGCGTCTGCCTCCCAAGCACTGGGATTAAAGGCGTGTGCCACCACCACGCAGTCAGCCTGATTTTATACAGGCTTTTCTGAATTGAGGCCCCCTCCTCTCTTATGACTCCAGTTTATGTCAAGTTGACATCAACTAGTACAAGTGGCTAGACAAAACACACTCAGAGGTCAAAAGTAGAACCCTGAGATGAGCTGTCTTCCAGTAAGCAGGCCACTCAGAACAAGGCCAGCCATTGAGTGAGGCTGGAGAGACTGTCCCTGATCCTTGGAGAGGCCAAGTCTGACTCAGTGGTGGGTTGGCGGTGAAGTAAGAGCAGGCTGGCAGAAGTGATGGGCACTGGGCATCCAGGGCCACCTGGTGCTCTGTGAATCTGGGATGGAGGATGGGTCTAGTCATGTCTGGACCACCAGCAGGCCTCACAGCCAGGTCAGAACTGTCTCCTGCAGTGGCTGGGGACATAGCAGAAACATGGAATCTAGTCTAGACCAGCCCTTTTTTTTTTTTTTTTTTTTTTT